TCTGGTCAGAGTCATCTTCCCCAGACACTTGTCGGGGCCTGGGGGGAGCTGGGCCTGCCGGGCTTCTCACGCAGCACAGCTATAAGGGCTCACTGCTGGCACGGTGATTCCCACACGGGTTGGAAACATTATGTGTTGCAGTGCTGGGTTGAGTGCCTGTCCCAAGCAGCTCTGTGCTTGTCCTGGCTCAGCCTGTGTGTCAGGCATGCCAAGAAACTGTAGTGAGAGATGAACTTGAGTCTTGAGACTTCGCATCACTTGGGGGGACAAGGAGCAGAAGGTGACAAAAGTACTTGTACACACAAGGGAAGCATTTCTCTTGGCTGTATTTGGGACATGGAGGAGCCAAAAGTCCATGGAAGGATGAAGCTGGGGGATATCCAACCTTCTCCACAGCTACCCCAGTACAGGCCTTTGGGCACTGAGAGGGAGATGCTGCAGGCAAGAACCAGGAGGCCTCTTCCTGCCAAGTATTCAATGTGCCCCACGCTTCAGGGGCAAATGGCGTCTTGTTGTGCACCTTCTGCTGTCATTCTTTGAGCACTTACACTAGCCTGTTCCAGGACTGCCGTGGGAAAGGGAGGCCATTCTCCCTTGCTCCTTGCGGTTGTTCCTGAGTTCTCTCTTTCCTCTGGCCAGTGAAAGTGTTTGTGCAGCCCCAGCATGAACTGGGCTGGGGAACTGCTCTAGGGTAAGACAAATTTGGCAGAAAGCAGTTTCACGTTGGCTGGTGTCTTGATCCAGTACGTGCTGCAGCCACGTGGGTGCTTGCACCGGCACAAAGGCTGAGAGAGCAGAGAGCAAGGAGGCACCTCCTCTCTCAGCAGCATGGCCAAGCTTTCCCGGCTCGGAGAAGGATTGAGTAAGGTTTTGTACGAGTGCCCAGCCCACTGGGTGCTTCTTGGAGGTACACCTGGCATCCAGCCAGGGCGGCCTTTCACCATCTCTCCCCTGCAGCAGCTCCTACAGTGCTGACATTAGTGGTGCCAAAACCTCCATGCCCCTGCACCCCTTGGGGCTGAACATCCTGCCTGGCTGCACATTTCCTGATGGCAGAGAGGCAGAAAGTTTCAGGGATTGGAATAGCCTGTGCTTTGCCTGTACTCCTCCAAAACCCCGCAGTGCCCGCAGCGGCCTCGGGCTGGCAGCTGGAATTGGGCAGAGCTCCAGCCCCGCTTGGTTGCTGCCTGCCATTAGGAATAACTGTCGGCAAAGTCCCTGAGGGAGCCAAGCCCTCAGTGAGGCATGAGAGCAGCAGGCTTCTCCCAGAAGAGTGACAGCAGACATGTGACCCTGGATCTCCTCACCCCTTCTTGGGCAGAGGAGGATCTTTTCTCAGCCCTCCAGGACCCTTCTCAGGGCTTGATGTCACCCTGCCCAGCAGTGCCCCTGTGCCACCCCTTCAGAGGCTCAGGAAGGAGGTGAAGGAGCCTCACCTGGCCCTGCATGAAGCAGTGCTGCTTCTTGTCTCATGCTCCTCCTGGAGTTCTCACCCTAGAGGTGAAAGAAATTCAGCAAAAAACACTTTGCCGTGTTTGCCAAGCCCAGGTTAGCTTTCTCAGCATTGGGAAGCATCTGTAGCTGGCATGTTTTGGTGTTGGTGGAGTTGGGAGCTGAGCAACAGCATGTCACTGGCAGCAGCAGCTGCCAGCGTCAGAAGCACAGGCGAGCAAACCACAGCCACATTTGCTGCTGCGAGGGGCCCTTCCTATCCCCTTTGCAGCCAGAGGCGCTGCTGCATCCCTGGGAGACCCAGTTTGTGTGGCAGCTTGGGGGTGGCACTGCTGTCCTCCCACACTTTTTCAAGCTCTCTGGGGCTGATGCTGGGCCCTGTTCAGAGTCCCTGTCTCCAGGTTGTTTTGGGCCCTACCGCTGCAGGTGGTGGGAGTTGCCTGTGCCAGGCACCCGGGCTGGACTCGGCGCTCGAGTTTTTTGCTTTGCTTCGGTGGCTCTTGGTTACAAGAGCGGGTTGGCCTGAAGAGAAAGGGTTTGGGCTCAGTGCCTGCCATGGGGCTGGCTTTGCCAAAGCTGAGGGCAGGGCAAGACCACTTTGCTCTCTGGGGTCCCTTGCAGTTTGTGGCTATGACTCCGTGTTTGTGGCCACTTGTTACTCTGAGCCTTTCTAGAACACAAACACCCTGCAGAGCTGCCAGTGTGCTCCCTCCAAATGAGCACTTCCATTGGAGGTGCCTCCTGCCCCCGGCTGTGCCCAGCAGAACTCTGGGGTCTGTGCTTGGTACCCAGGTGAGGGCAGGGCAGGCCATTCCCAAGGGCATGGGGAACTCCTGAGGAAGAGGCAGGCTTAGTGGAGCTGGGCTAGACCAAGATGCTGTCGGGCTCAGCTTTGTGTCCTCAGATGGGAGCAGGGCCATGGGATGGGGTGTGAATCAGTGCACCGGGAGCTGCTGCAGGCTGCCAGCACCTGGAGGTGGGCAGGATCCGTGTGGCTGGGCCTGCTCTCCCACAGCAAACCGCTGCAGACCCGTGAGCGCTACTGGGTTCAGGGCGAGGGAGGCTTCTCTGCTTTCACCGCCTCCACCGACCTCAAGCAGGACCGTTTTCAGCTGGTTGTTCCAGCTCTCCTCTATCGAAGCCATGAACACCCGAGGGCGAAACCGGAGAGTGAAACTGAGACCAGCCCTTGGGCCAGCAGCTCCCAAACCCTGTAAGGGAACTAGCTGGCTCTGCCTGGGAGGGCGAGTCTAAGGGGGCAGCGGCGACAGCCCTGCCCTCTCCCTGGGGCAGGCGGAGCAGAGGTGTCCTGTTTCCAGGGCAGGTCCCGCTGGCGCTGTCTGTAAACTGGTGGGGAGATGAATATGCAAGGTGCAGTCCTGCTGGTTAAGCTCCCAGCTGGTGGGTGGAGGGGGAGGTACTCTCCTCTTGCCAGGGAGCTCTGCTCTCATCTGTCATGGGAGACTGTCCCGAGCCTGCTCCTGCTTCTCCCCTTTCTTCCTTCTTAGGGCGTTACTTGCTCCTGTTCCCGCCTCTTACATGGGGCACTGTTTGACTGAAATAGCTGCCGCCTCAAGCCGTGGGGCGGGCTGCCCCAGTTGACCCTGGAGGCTCGATTTTGCAGATTGGGGCCTCCCCATGTCCTCGCCCTTGGCTTTGCCTCTGGGTGTTGTTAGCGCCGGCGGCTCCTCTGGGCCAGTGTTTCTGTAGTGGGAGCCATGAGCATGACAATTGCTTTCCAGGTTTTTAATGAGTGCCACATACGGAAGACCCCTGGTTGTATCTTGGGAGCTCTGACAAGCCCATGCTTTTGGCAGTAAGCGTAACAGCTGTGATGAGGTAGGTTTCCTCACCGAGTGCTGCGTGGGGCTTCCCGTTAACACTGCAGTGAAGGTCGTGTCAGGGCACGGGCCCTGGGAGGGCCTGGCGCTGGGGCAGAGAGTGGATCCTGATGCTGTTGGGCCTTTTCCACCCGCTCCTCCCACCATGCTTGCTCTCTCCTCTCTTTAGGCCACTAGTTCCTTGCCAGAGAGTTTGACCACAGAGAGTCGCCAAGATAGCTGGGCCAGGAAGAAAACGTCGCACCCCTGACCCAGACTCCATTACCGACCCCGGCGGGCCGTTTGTGTCCTCCAAACGGCTGAAAATGTCCAGCAGCACCAATGCCCCTGGCCAGAGGAGAGTGTCTCGGGGCTTGGAAGATGCCACCAACAAGAAGAAGCAGAAGGATCGAGCCAACCAGGAGAGCAAGGAAGGTGAGAGCCCCTCGGCAGTGCTGCGTCAAGCAGGCCTGTGGTTTCTCGGCCTTGCAGGGTGGGAGCCTCGCAGCCATCTGCTGCAGGATAAGCAGATTTAACTAATCGCTTCCTGCAGCTGATGGTAACCCGTGTGATGTGGGATCCTCTTCGTCACAGTGTCCTCCCTGGACCTGTAACCTTCTTCCTTCGGGCGCTACTTAGCCCCAGTTATGTGAGGAAGGTCAGACCTGTGGCTTTGTTAGCTTAAGCCTGGAGTTGGCCTCAGTGGTTGTTTCTAGACTCTGCTTTTGGATGAGGCTGAGCTGCCCCGATCCAGAGGTAGTGGGACTGAAGCCTGTGGGTGCTCTTGCAGCTGGAGGCGCTGCTGCTTCCCTATCGGTTTGCTGAGGCCAGATGCTGCGAGACAGCAACTGGGTGCTGACAGCGTCTGCCAAGTGCAGGGCCTGTGGGTGGGGCTGCTGTTTTAACTTCTGTGTCAGGGCAAGGTGTGGCTCAAGTAGAATAGTTGCTGTGGAGTAATTCCCTCTGTAACTGCTGTGTATATGATGACAAAAATGATGCTTCAGGTGCAGGCTCCAGTGTGGGGCAGGGAATGCCTGCAGGCAGGATGCAAGCAAGAGTTCCCGCGGCCATGGAAAATTGCTCGATTTCTGTGCCTGCTCCATTATGACTGTTGTAACCTCAAAATCACAGGGTGTTTTATAGGTCAAGGTAAATGAGCTCTTGCTGAGATCTGTGCCGGCTGCTGTCCCCAGTGCAAAACGCCATGGTGTAGAGTGCGCAGTGTTGTGCCTTCTCTCACATGGGAGGTGTGCTGTTTCTCTGGTAAGGCCTGACCTTCCGCACCTCCTGACCCAGGAGGCTCTTGCCTTCCCAGGGGCTGTGGTGCAGCCATGCTGACTCTGTCCCCTCTGTGCAGGGGTGGCAAGGGGACGGAGCAAGTTGTAGATCCTCCAGGCAGTGCCGCTGCAGAGCTTCTCACACTGCCAGTCCCACCGGCACCTTAGCACCATTGACTGTGGTGGTTAGCAGAGGTTTTGTATGGGTTTGTAGCACATCAAGGGAGGCAGCGGCAGCCTCTGAGCACTCCAGGGTGGAGACCACAGCTCACGTTGCTGCTGTTGCTCTGAGCCCCTTGCCTGGCAGAGCTCACTGCCCTGTGGGGGTGGAACAGGGCCTGAGACACTTCTGGCTGTTGGAGGTAATCCTGCGGGGAGCAGGGATTAGGTGTCAGGTCAGTTTGGTTCCCCAGCCTGATCTGGAAGGAGGTTTCGGCTGTGGACATTGGCAGCTTGTGCAGGAATGAGAATGCTAAAGTGCAGCTGGGCTGTGTGGTTCTCTCATTACAGCAGAATTGGTTTGAGCACAACCAAACATCAAGTCCTCCCTGTCAGATCAAGGCAGGACTCCTCTGTATGGCTGGAGGCTGAAGGCCTGGGGTACTGAGCAGGGGCGCACAGACCAGGTACCACAAGCTTGACACTGAGACGTGCCTCGAAGCAGCACTGTCTGTGCAGTGCAGTGATGTTGTGTTGCTTCTACTGTGGTGCTGGTTAGACTGAGATATGGTGGTGTGGCCCAGAGCAGCTGTGCTGGGGGCTGACTTGCTGTGGTGCAGCAGGGCTACTGGGAAGGAAGAGGTGTGAGGAAGCAGAGGAGGGAAATGAGCAGCACATGCAGGATGAAAGGCCTGGACAGAGGTTCAGGGGATAAGGAGGTGACATGCGAGATTTTGGGCATTGGCATGCCGGCCCATGCTCTGATGTGACAAAATGACAGACCTGCCTGCGCTCTGCTTCTCTGCCCACCAGTGTCTCGCCCTGAGCTCGAGCAGGCTGAGACTGCCCAGGAGAAGGACTCAGAGGAGGGTAAGTTAAGGTGTGTGCCGGCTGTTAGTGCATGGCCACAGAGTGCCCTTGCCAAGGGATCTGAAGCTCTCACCTTGTCATTGTCCCATGGTCTAGCATTGAGCAGAACTAACCTGAGTGCTCCTTGCCACAGTGTTTGTCTTAAGAGGATGCGGCATTCCCAGGGCAGAGAAGGATGCACATGGCAGAGAAGGGCTGTCTGCAAGGAAGAGGCTCTGAGCACGTGACAGGCTACTTCTGACTCGGTGTCATGGTGCCACTGAGCACAGTCCTGGGATGTCTTGCTGCCCGCATCTGTCCTGCTTGTTTCTGAGCAGGGAACTGTGCTGGGGTGGGAAAATCCCAACCCATGTCACTCAGCAAGTGCTGCTGGCCGGTTTCTGCTTTGGTCCAGGCCTGCTTTGAGGGGAGGTGGAGTAGGATACCCTTATACCACAGAGGGCAGAATGAACCTGCCTGAAATTAAGGTGATTGAAATCACCTTTTTGCCTTGAAGACTTCAGAACACCACAGGGCCAGACCTGGAGCCTGGCAGGCACCTGACGGGGGTTCTGCCTGCAGCAGAGTGACACTGCCACACCATTTTCTCCCTGGGTGTGGCCTTCTTGCCCGGCTGGCCAGCCCACCCCTGTTTCAGCCATGGTAACAGTGCTTACCTGGCAGGAGTACAGTGCACTTTGGTGATTGCAGCTGAGCTGGTCGGTTTGCATATGCAAAGAGGAAGTGGCAATTTCTGGTTGTGGGCAGAGTCCACTTGAATCCCCCAGAGTAATTCTGTGGCTTCCTTGTTCCCTGGGGAAAGCAGCAATTGCTCTGTAGTTGGCAGGAGCCACCCCTTCTTCCCAGCCGCTGCTGCACGTGACAGGGCCGAGAGCAGCGCTGCCTTTCTGATCTCTCTAGTTCTCACCGGGATTCACCTGCCCTGCCGTAACATGTGCTCTTCTTTGTGGCCTGTCTGATGAAAGCAGGTTGTGAGCATCCTGTTTGATTGATATGATCTGTGCTCTCTGCATTGACCTCCTTAAACCGAGCGTGTATTCAGGCTCTCATTCCCCAGCCAAGGAGTGGGCACTGCAGGCTTATGCCCCAGCGAGTGGGTGACACTTCCCTCCCTCTTCCTAGAACTGCTGCTGGACTGGAAGCAGAATGCTGATGAGATCATTGTCAAGCTGAACTTGGGCAGTGGAGCTCTGAAGGTGGAGGATGTGGATGCTGCTTTCACTGACACAGACTGTGTGGTCAAACTACCAGGTATGGGGAGCAGAGGGACTGCTGCAGGCATTTCTTCAGCAGGGCTTGGTGCAGCTAGAAGTGGGGCTGATCCAGGCAGGCATAAAACCTTTCCTTCAGAGGCAGTGCCCTGCTGTCAGCTGGTATAGCTTCAGCCAGCAGGCAGGGCTGATATGAGAGCAGTGTAAAAGAAGAAGGGTGTAGAGCTGAGGAAGAAGGCAGGAGCTGGTCTCCGCACCAAGTGGGCAAGCCCAAACTGCTGCACTGATGCATGTCCCCTGCTTGCTGGGATGACTGAGTCGGCCCTGGGTATCCCCTGGAAAAGCGACTATGCCCCTGAGGGCAGGGAGGCCCAGGGCCTTCCCTCTGGGAAGGAGGCCAGCCAGATGTACAAAACAAATCCAGGGAAGCTGGCATTACCCTGAAGGCTCCTGGGGTATGGTGGCAGCCTGCCTGCAGCCTCCTTGGCTCTGGATGAGTGCTGCCTTGATCCTTGGGGCAGGTGAAGGGGGGCTGTGGGTTAGGTGACAGCTGCCTGGAGCGCTGCCTGAGGTGTCGGTCCCCCTCTGCTTGCAGATGGGCGCCAGTGGAGCTGTCAGTTCTATGAGGAGATTGAGAGCTCCTGCAGCAAGGTCCAGTGCAAGAAGGGCAACTTTCTACAGCTTGTGCTTCAGAAGAAGATCCCACTGCATACCTGGTCTTCGCTTCTGGTGAGGAGGGAAGGATCTGCTGTTTGAGGGAGCTTATGGAGCCCAGGGGAGCTGGGGTGACGGTTTCACTCCCTGCTCTTGAGCTGCTCAGGGAGCAATGTGGGGCACATCCTGTATCCATGTGCTTCCTGAGGGCAGTGAGCCAGCTGCCTCTGTCCCAGGGAGGGGGGCATCATCACACCCCTGTTACTGTTTGCCACATAAGCTCCAGGTTCTGGAGCAGAGCCCTAGCACATTCAGAGAAGGGGGAGTGAGGGTGAGGGGCTGGCAAAGAGCGTGAGAGGTGCTGCTGCCTGGATACCTTCCCACTGTGCTGCACTGCTTTTCACAGAAGAGAAGGAAAGATGGATCCAAAGAGCTGGCCAAAGGGGCCACATGCTGGGAGAATGGAAAGGAGAAGGCTGCTTCTGCAGAGCTGGCCCCTGAAGAGCTGAGGGCTGAAGGCACAGAGCCACCGAGGTCCCGTCGGGAGCCCTCCAACCCTAAGCGTGCTCCGGGAAGAAGTGAGGCCCTGGGAGGGAAGAGCCCAGCCAGCCCAGGGACACAGAGCGGCCCCAGCGCCAAGCGGGCAGTATACCTCAAAGTAGCTCCTACTGAAGAGGAGCCAAATGCCAGAGTCACTGGCAGCGTGGAGCCCAGCAAAGGGCACAGCGGGAGGGCAGGCAGCCGCCGCAATGGCAGAACCAGCCAGGTTGACGGGCCTACAGCCCTCACGGACCTCACACCGCCACTGGAGAAGGTACCTAGGACTCGGCCAAACAGGGCACCCCTGCTTCCTCAGCCCCCACGCAGAGGATGCTGTTTGCCCAGGGACACATCGTTGCCGATGAGATGGGCTCCGGGGTTCCGTGGGTGGTGCTGAGAGCTGGCATGGGCCTGGCTGTGGTGGAGGAGAGGGTGACATGAGGACCTGCAGTCGCTGGGCTGAGCATGTGCTCTGGTGCTAACAAGGCTGAGCTGAGCATGGGATATGTGGGGGAAGTGGGTGGCATGGGATGGGGCTGTGCCTGCCTGGCTGGCAGGAGTCACAGCAGGTGAGCCACAGCAGCTTGGGGGTGACAGTGTCTGTTTTTCACCGTGTCCCTCTGTCTTAAAAGGCTGTGGTTTTGGCCAAGGAGACTGTTCCTGTGGAGATGCCACCTCTCACTGCTACCACAGAGGTGTTCCCCCACCGTGTTGCCACCTGTGTGGAGAAGAGGGTCCTGCAGCCAGGCAGCCCTGCTGAGGTCTTGCGGGGCCGGGACTGCACACCTGTCCTGGGAGAGAGCTCTAAGGCTGTCCCAGTGGCCACCCCTCCCCTGGGCAGAGACAGTGAGAAGAGGGACTGGTCCAAGGATGACGTGGCGCTGGAAGCAGCGGCTGATGGTAAGTGGCTGGAGCCCAGGGATCGGCCTGGTCGGGAAAGTCCATCTGCTCAGGACCTCTACTGGGTCAGCCTGCAGTGCTTCCTCAGCATGCAAAGAAGGTAATGTCTCTCTCCATGGCTTTCCTCGCTCAGAGCCAGAGCCTTTTGTGAGCCTGACCTTTGTCAAGAATGACTCATATGAGAAGGGCAACGACCTAGTGGTGGTGCACGTCTACGTGAAGGAGATCCACAAGGAGACATCCAAGGTGTTGTTCCGGGAGCAAGACTTCACGCTGGTGTTCCAGACAAGGTACAGGCATGCCTCAGGACAGTGCCAGACTGCTGTGTAGCTCCTGACTGTGGCCAGGCTACTTGTTTGTTCACTTCTTCTCACTCCTTCCCAATGTCTTTGTAGTGACACAAACTTCCTTCGTCTCCATCCTGGCTGTGGGCCCCACACAGTGTTCCGGTGGCAGGTGAAGCTCAGGTATGGCTCCCATCCTTCTAGCCTACAACAGGGCAAAGGAGCTGAGAGTGCAGAGCTGGAGCAGAAGCCAGTCCTGACTGGCGGGTCTGTGGAAGGAATGCTCATTTCTACACCTGAGAGTCTCCCTTACACCATGCTACAGTAATGCCCTAAGCCCAGGCTGCCTTGGCTCTGTGTGGTGGCTTGCAGGGGAGGAAATCCCAGTGCCTCCTTGCTTGCATTTCCCCCTCAGCCTGTTCCAGAGCTCCTGGGGACAGAGCCAGACCAGCCTGTGTGCACTTTGGGTGGGATGTCCAGTGGGAGGGAGCATGTGGAGCCAAGTGGAATGGATCTGCCAGGAAAGGGGCCCTCTGTGTGCTTAGTGTGGCCAGGCTCAAAGGTTTCCGCCCTGGTCTTCCAGGGCCACCTCACGATCAGTGCTAGCCAGGTCCCTACTGCCTGGAGGCCATGGCCCTGCCTTGCAGAGGCTTTGGCACGTCTGAGGCTGCTGGGGGGTCTGGGGCACCCCTGACTTGCTGTGTGTCTTGCAGGAACCTTATTGAGCCAGACCAGTGCACGTACAACTTCACGGTGTCTCGCATCGATGTCTGCCTGAAGAAACGCCAGAGCCAGCGCTGGGGAGGGCTGGAGGCTCCAGCCACACGAGGTCTGCACCCTGCCTTCTTGTCTTGCCTGCCTGCTGCACCCCAGCAGGGCATGGGCCCTTCTCACCACTGGCATCAGCTGGGTGGTGCCAGATCCTCTGGCACAGGGTTGTGGGGAAGGAGAAGAGGTTGAGTGGGTGCAGGCAGGAGGGGTGTAGGGCAGTGCAAGCCAAGCTCTAGAGGAAGGGCACTGCTGTTCCTCTTGCTCATGGAGAAGAGGGGTAGGAGAGAGCCTGTGTGTGAGCTTGGACTGAGCAGCTTAGCCCTGCCGTGGTGCTGCTAACCACAGGCCCACCCTTCCCCCTTTTTAAGGTGCAGTGGGTGGTGCAAAGGTTGCCATGCCTACAGGCCCTACCCCTCTGGATAAGAACCCCCCGGGAAGTAACCAGCACCCCCTGTCCAGCAAGGAGGAGGCCCGAGCCAGCGACAAAGAGAAGCCGCGTGTGGAAGATGGGGGTCTGGATGGTGTAGCAGCTCGTACAGCACCAGAGCATGTGGCAGTGAAGCAAGAGCCACACATTCCCTCGGTGAGTAGGGCTGCACCCACTGGGTTTGACCTGGGCAGGGGGAGAGGGGGGCCCGCCTGTGCTTCTCATGGGTCCCCACCTCCTTGGTGTTGCTTTGGGGACTGGCAAGCTGTTCATGGAGGAGGAGGCAGTGCTCCTCAGTCACAGCTGGCATGACTGGGGGCAGCAGTTGGTCTGTCTATCCCAGTCCTGGTGGGTGGTGGTGTGATGGCTCCAGCACAGCCACATTTGAGGGGTGCTATGGGCTTTTGGTTTCCCCTGGTGTTCCCAGAGAGACCCCCTTGAGTGCAGCATCCTCACATTTGCCTTTGCTTTGGCAGCCCAAACCAACATGCATGGTGCCACCAATGACACACAGCCCCGTGAGCACTGAGAGTGTGGAGGATGATGAGGATGAGGATGAGAAGAAGAAGGTGTGCCTGCCTGGCTTCACGGGGCTGGTGAACCTTGGCAACACCTGCTTCATGAACAGCGTCATCCAGTCCCTGTCAAACACCCGGGAGCTGCGTGACTACTTCCATGGTGAGCCCACGCCAGGAGCCCAGCAGAGCCCTGCTGCTCTGATGGTGCCGCCAGCAACCACCTTTGCTCTCCTGTATCTCTTACAGATAGGTCCTTTGAGTCGGAAATCAACTACAACAACCCGCTGGGGACAGGGGGACGCCTGGCCATTGGCTTTGCCATGCTGCTGCGAGCGCTGTGGAAGGGCACACACCATGCCTTCCAGCCCTCTAAACTAAAGGTAGGGCCGCAGGCACCAGCGCTACGCAGGAGCTGCTGTGGGTCCCCAGCACTCCTTTGTGGGCACCTGGATGCCCTGCTAGTGCTGCTGAGGGCTAGGTGGGTGTGTGCAGCCAGGCTTTGTGCGTGGGACAGGCAGTGCTGCCCAGGAGGCTGCTGACCAGCCCTGACTACTGTGCTCCCCCCCAGGCAATTGTGGCCAGCAAGGCCAGCCAGTTCACTGGCTATGCCCAGCATGATGCTCAGGAGTTCATGGCCTTCCTGCTTGATGGCCTGCATGAGGACCTCAACCGCATCCAGAACAAGCCCTATACAGAAACTGTTGACTCAGATGGGAGGCCCGATGAGGTGAGGATGTCCGTCCTCAAAGCTACTGGGAGAGCAGCCCTGGCTTGGGTGGTTTAGCGTAGTGCTAAGCCCTCTCTCCCTGCAGGTGGTAGCTGAGGAAGCCTGGCAGCGACACAAGATGAGGAACGACTCTTTCATTGTGGACCTTTTTCAGGGCCAGTACAAATCCAAGCTGGTGTGCCCAGTGTGTTCCAAGGTAGGGCAGCCCTTGGAGGCTTTGTCCCTGTCCTGGCTGTACAGCAGCAAGCTCCTGAACCTCAGAGAGCACAGGTCACAGGGCAAGGCTGGATCTCAGGTCCACTGGGGCTGCTGCCCCACTGATCTCAGCCACAAGCATTTCTTGCAACTGAGTGTGCTCTCACATCTGCAGGTGTCCATCACCTTTGATCCCTTCCTGTACCTCCCCGTGCCCCTCCCACAGAAGCAGAAGGTGCTGACTGTCTACTACTTTGCAAAGGAGCCGCACAAGAAACCAATTAAGGTAAAGGACACCACCTACTCTGGGGCAGGAGCCTGAGAGGGTTCCTGGAGGTGCCCCAGGCAGCTGGTCGTGTGCCAACAGGCTGAGCTTTGTGTTAAGGACCTGTACTCTTTGGTGTGGTCTGACTGATGTGGTGCTTTCTTGCTGGCAGTTCCTTGTGAGTATCATCAAGGAGAACTCCAGTGCCATGGAGGTACTTGACTCAGTGGCCCACAGTGTGCGTGTGAAACCAGAGAACCTGCGTCTGGCAGAGGTGAGAGTGCTCAAGCTGGGGAGCAAGCTGTGGGCTGCTCTTGTGGGTGCCCTGGATCCCACAGCTCCACAGGGAATATGGCCACTGACAGTTGCTTGCCCATATCCAACATGTCCATGGGATGGATTTTGTCTGTGGGTGGCAGTGTCTTGCACAGGGTACCGTGCAGGCAGAGCCCTGCTGGGAGGGCCACCGCAGTAGGGCAAAGGATGTCCATCCTCCCCTGGCAGGGTGGTGAGCTGAGCACAGCATCTCTGTGGTGCTGCTGTCCCCACAGCTCACTGTGGCTTTCTCAGGAGAGGAAGCGTGGGGCAGCCCTCACATGGCTCTGCTCCACTGCTTTCCTGGCAGGTGATCAAGAATCGCTTCCACCGTATGTTCCTGCCGTCCAACTCACTGGACACGGTCACCCCCACGGACTTGCTGCTCTGCTTCGAGGTGCTGTCCCCAGAGCTGGCCAAGGAGCGGGTGGTGGAGTTGCAGGTCCAGCAGGTAAGAGGGGATATTGGGACTGCTGGAAGTCATGCAGAGAGCCTGAGCCTGCAAATGGGCCTGAGCAGGAGGGGGAGAGCTGCATGCAAGGATGACTAGCTGCATCGAGCCATGGATGCCCACCAAGGCTGCCTGGTCCTGCTCGGGTGCCCTTCCCTGCCCAATGGGTCCTTTCTCCTACAGCGTCCGCAGGTGCCCAGTGGCCCAGTCGCCAAGTGTGCTGCCTGCCAGAAGAAGCAGCTGCCTGAGGATGAGAAGCTCAGGCGCTGCACGAGGTGCTATCGAGTCGGTTACTGCAATGTGTGAGTTGGCTTGGTGTTTGGCAGGGAGGGAGGGTCCCCTGCCTTGAAGAGCTGGATGGGAGAGTTCAGTCCACTGGGAGGAGGTGGGATGGGCCTGGCCTTTGGGAGGTCAGTCTGGCTCATGGCGCTCCCCGCATCCCCAACACATCCCCCTGGCCCTGCCATGCTCCTGCCCAGGGTGGTCGCAGATACTGGGTTCATCTGGGGCTGTATGTGTTACAGGGCATGTCAGAAAACACACTGGCCGGACCACAAGGCTTTGTGCCGCCCCGAGAACATCGGTTTCCCCTTCCTCATCAGCGTGCCAGAGTCCCGCCTCACCTATGCCCGACTGGCCCAGCTGCTGGAGGGCTACGCAAGGTGAGGGTCCAGGGAAGGAGGGTGCTTCTGCCCTGGAGCTGAGCTCAGCCCTGTGCCTGTCTGGCTCTGACTGCCACCTTCTTGCCCAGGTACTCGGTCAGCGTGTTCCAGCCTCCATTCCAGCTGGGCCGGATGTCACCAGAACAGGGGT